ATGGAGAGAATACAGGAATGAAAGTTACTATGGGTGTCACTTATCAGAGGCAGTCAATACTGATTAAATGAAGATCTTAATTTTAGAGTGTATGGTTTGTCTATTTTTTTCAGCGAATGAGTGACTATCACCCATCAGAAATTCAAATACCAGCAGTGGCTTTAGCTCGCGCAATCGCCGGTTCACCCCATTTCCTTTTTGAAACCTAGCTGTATATTAACAAGGCTATGAATGTTTCAGGGAATGTACTAAGCGTTGTGTCTAACGTGAATACTCCACCTCAAGCAAAAGCAACAATACTGAGCCCACGATATCCCTTACCGCTTGCATTGGTCAAGTCACCTGCAAGATGTTTAAGATTTCAATATCGGCTGTTSGGGCCTGGGGCCAATGCACTTAARCTATATCAAATCCTAGATGACAAAATGTTCCCATGGAGACCAATATGGATTGATACAGATAACAATTTAAGTGGTTGGAAGGAAGGTCAGGTCACTCTATCAGCTGTAACTGCATATCAGGTATTCTAACGTGACATACCTTTATCTAATGACATCGGTGGACATAATGATTCAAGTCCTTATTTAGAAAATTAGTATTTTTTTCGACGGTTCGTACCCACAATTCAGCATTATTATAGCTCTTGTGTTACTGTGGAAAACCTCGTTAAMTAATGCCAACATCGTAAAACAGAAAAAAAGATTTTATCTTTGCCAATAGTAAGTTGAACATTAATGTGAAATTAATGTGAATTTTAGACATTGGTAATGGATCATAGGGTCGTATTCACTTGTTCATTGCATTATAAACTCATTATCCGGTTCTTTTCTTTGATCGTTGTATTAACTATGTATATATAATTTACCAAATTCATTAATAATTCATAAGGTAAGCACAATGGAAAATCATTGCCGTGACCGCATCTTTATATGAGCAAGAGATTTGTCCTGATTTGCATACGAACTTCGATACCGACCTTTATGAGCTCATGAGCCCATAGAGGTCTCCCGCTCATATTTTACATATTGCTTAAAACGCGATATCGTGTGTTTTAAAGAGCTTAATACTCCAACACTAATTTTAAACTCAAATACTTTAAAAGTCTTGGAGAAATTGCCGTAAAAATAAGTTTGGAGATAAATGGGACAAACTCATCATGCGCGAATCACTTTACAAAGCATTCCTTTCGTCCCACAATGAACACGCATAAAGTAAAATAGACGTGCTGTTGGCTGTTTACTGCAATCAGGTATATCAAACCTGAGACCTTTGTTAGGGTCGTGGACCTCCATATCTGATAAAGGGTCACCCTTATTATATTTAAGAAATATAAAATGGCGCGCGTGTCTCTGTCCTTTGATATAAACACGGTGGGAATTCGAAAAACACGAGAGAAGCAAGCTTAGGAACACGAGCGTAGCGAGTGTTTCTCTTGCTTCTCGAGTGTTTTTCAACTCCCACCGTGTTTATATCAGAGAACAGAGACACAAGCGGTCGTTTTATATTTCTTTTATAATTTTTTTTTTTTTAAATAAGCCGTGTCTCTGTCCTCTGATATAAACACGGTCGTCAGCCAATCAGAGCGCACGTTATATATCAAAAATTTTATAAAAAGAATTATCAAAACCTATTACCACCACTGGAAAGAACAGTATAAAAGTAGTACGTTTATTACCAGGTTTGAGCATGATTCGATAAAAATTCAAAGAGATACAGCTTTTAAAAGTTCCAAATTTACATGAGAAATGTATGGGCTGTCGGCATGAGATCGAGGTTGACCTTGACTTGTTACAACCTCGCCAAACATTTCTATGCAAAATTTAGTGTTTTTTAACTGCCGCATCTCTTTGAATTTTAATCAGATTATTTTCAAACTTGGCAAATTTGCTGATTTTATGACGCTCTTTCCAGTGATGTCAATGATTTACCATAACGACGTAATGTAAAATTTCGAATTATCCGCGAAGTGGACTATTATTTATACATCTAGATTGCTATAGAGGGACATATGTCCAATGAGCCAGGGCTGATATCAATAGGGGCATTGTATACTACTGAAGAATACTGTGATACTTTACCCACAAGAGCAAATGAAGGTAGGTATTCATACTCACAGACGTCTTCAATATTTCGAAATATTGCTGAAATCACTAAGCGATCGATTCTTGTTTCACAGCCTGTAATGAAACCTTTACAAACAAATCTGGCGTTATCATGTCTCCCTGCTATCCTAGTTATTACAGGAATAACGCAAATTGCAACTCGACTATCATAGCAAACCAAGGTTATGTGATTCGGCTAGATATTGCTGAGTTTGAACTGGAAATGAGCACACGATGTGAGGACGACTCGGTTGATGTTTATGATGGTGGTAAACGGATTGGTCGATATTGCGGTATAAGGTGAGCCGCTATATAAATACTTGCTGCATGTTTGTCCTCCGATTTTAATTTTTCCATTAATTAATAATCCCTGAGAGAACAGCAATGCGAGTCATTTGGGCGCGAAGGCATTGAGAAAGTATTACTTTAGAAAGCTAATATGCAGATATTTAGAAAGTGTTCCATTTACCCAAATTTGTTTCGGGCTATACCTAAAATGTGATTTCTGCCCATTTTATTTTCAGTTATCCAGCCTTCATTCAGTCAACTACAAACCACCTTTCAGTGCTGTTTCGATCAGACGCGAAGACCATTCGTACAGGGTTTTTGGCGCGATACCAAATCCTGAAAGGTAATTAAAAAGATAGTTAATGGACACCCTGTTGAGGTTATTTCAAATTTAATTATAATCATTATTATCTGCAACTATAATTTTTGTGATCAAGAAACTTATGCAAATCTATCATTATAAAGTTTTGCCAATGAATATTTTTGTGTGATGTATTAAACCACATTAATTAATCCATAAAATATTCAAAGACTGGAATCGAATTTATAGTCAGGTTTTGTCAGTGTTTGGTAGTGATTGGAAGGAAAGCAAACCCTATACACTCTGATGAACAATATGTAACCTTGTCTCGTGTGCTCTCTCAGCTTCTAAAAACCTTGAATCAACGCTAGTGTCAGAGTATATAGACTCAGCAACTAGGCCGCCACCGCTTTACATGCTGCGTTGACCTGTTTTATATCGAATGAGCTGTAGCTCGAAGCAATCTTTTTCCATACTACCAATTTAACGCTTGCTATGATTGAAACAAAACTCTCAGTGTTCTCCTGTTTCTTCTTCCTCCGATTCCGTCAGTGTTTTCCCTTGTCTTTACGTCTTGACATGCATTTTTCGCACTGAGGACTACAAACATTTTTTTGCGTTGAGGAAGGGGGCAATGACTTTCATTTGTAGAGATAAGAGAACATCCTACGTATTTAAAACAGACCAGAAGACATTATATCCGCCATTATTGTAGCTGAATATTATTCTTTATTGCTGTTGCTGCTTTTCCTTCAGATAATGACACAAACAAAGACTGTTTACAAGGTAAAC